CTTCCCTTTCAATTTCATTGAAGAGTTTAAACAGTAGTGGCAGTAGTTCTTCTCTAAATGTCTTGTAGAATTCAGCAGTGAAGCCATCAGGACCTGAGCTTTTCTTAGTTGGTAAGTTTTTAATTACATTTTCAATTTCATTGTTTGATATTGAGTTGTTTAGAATTTTTAGGCCTTCTTCATTCAACTGTGGTCATTCATATGTATCCAGAAATCTGTCCATTTCTTCTGTGTTTTCCATCTTATTGGCATATAGGTTCTGGAAGTAGGTATTGATGATCCTCTGGATTTCTGCTGGGTCTGTTGTAATTTCACCCTTTTCCTTCCTAATTGCATGGATTTGGGCCTTTTCTTTCCCTTTTCTGATAAGGTTGGCTAAGGGTTTGTCAATTTTGTTTATTCTTTCAAAGAACCAATTCTTGGCTTCATTGATTTTTTTTTTGTATTGTTCTCTTATCTCCATTGCATTGATTTCTGTTCTGATCTTTATAATTTTCTCTCTTGTATGAGCTTTGGGTTTGTCCTGCTCTTCTTTTTCTAGAAGCTTGAGGTTCAGCATCAGGTTGTTTAATTGGGCTTGGTCTGTTTTCCCAATATGAGTATTCAGTGCTATGAGTTTCCCTCGTAAGACTGCTTTCATTGTGTCCCATCTATTCCAATATGTTGCACTGTCAATGCCATTTAATTGAAGGAACTGTCTGATTTCTTCTTTAATTTCCTCTGTAACCCATTGGTTTATCCAGAGGTTTGTTGTTGAATTTCCATGTGTTTATGAAATTCTTGCAGTTTATTTTGCTATTGATCTCCCATTTTATCACACTATGGTCTGATAATATACAGGGGATAATGTCAATTCCTTTGCATGTACTTAAACATGTTCTATGAGCAAGTATGTGGTCTATTTTGGAGAACAAGCCATGAGTAGCTGAACAGAATGTGTATTATGATTTTGTGGGCTGGAGCACTCTGTAAACATCTGTTAAGTTCATTTGTTCAAGAGTTTGATTGAGTTCTAGTATGCTGTTGCTTATTTTTTGTTTAGTTGATCTATCTATTTGTGACAGTGGGGTATTGAGGTCCCCCACTACTATTGTATTAGTGCTTATTTGATTTTTTATGTCCGTTAGTATTTGTTTTATACAGTTGGGCACACTAGTGTTTGGTGCATATATATTTATGATTGTCATCTCTTCCTGTTGGATTGTTCCCTTTATAAGGATGTAGTGTTCTTCTTGGTCTCTCTTAATCAATGTTGGTTTGAAATCCACTTGATCTGAAGAGAGGATAGCTACTCTGCTTTTTTTCAGGTTCCTGTTGCATGGAGTATTGTTTCCCACCCTTTAACTTTTAGTCTACGAGTTTCTTTTTGAATTGTGTTTTTCTTGTATACACCATATTGTTGGATCTTGCTTCTTGACCCATTCTGCCAGTCTATTTCTTTGGATTGGTGAATTGAGTGCATTAACATGGATGGTTATAACTGATACATATTGACTTATTTCTGTCATGACTTTTGCTTTTTGTTGGATTCTCCCCATTTTGTATTTAATTTCTTCTTGCACATGATGGATTCATTCTGCTGGGCTTCCTGGGGTTGTTGACTCTCCTTGTCTTTTCCTAGGATATTGTCTAAAATTTGTTTGAGTGCTGGTTTAGTATTCATGAAGTTCCTAAGGTGCTCCTTATCATGAAAGTATCTTATTTCTCCATCA